CCACTCTCCCCAGCCTTTACGAGCTTCTCCGCGTCAGCGCGTCAAGAAAATTAGCAGCGGCGCATCAACAACAACGGGGTTCAAATTTCCCTGGAGTGGAATCACATGTTAAGCCCCAAGGGTGTTCCACCTCGAGGGCTATGTTGCACGCTGGCCGCGGCCGAGTTCGGCCCGGGCCGCGGTCGGCGGCCTAGGCCAGGACCTCCCCGGCCGTAGCCGGCCCGATTGAGTTTTTTCGGTCGTGGTGTCGGCCGATCTGGGGGGCGTTTTTGGGAGCGGGGTGCGAGTTTGGGATGGGGAGGTGGGGGGGCACCCCTTCAAAGTGACAGGCCGTCCAAAAAAAAAAACCGGGGGGGGCCTGCACTAGACCCTGGAAGGGTGGCCCGCGAAAAATCCAGCGTCCCCCGTGTGCAGGTTCGTCGATGCGGGGTCGCAGGGAGGAGGGTCTGGAACAGTGGAAAAAAAATATATATATATTTGACCCCTACGGGGGCGGCCCAACGTGGGTTGGATGAGGGCCTGGCTGGGGCGGGCTGTGCGGCCAGTCCGGGTCGAAGCTAGACGGGGCTTCAGATGGCAGACCCCAGGCGGATCAGGGCCTCACGCACTGAAAGGTAGGCGACGGTTTCATTAATGAGGGCAATGACAGTTCGTCGCTTATTTTAAAATAACACATTCATGGCAATCATAAGTCAGACCCTGTTTGGCATACCAAAGTGAAAACACATTGCAAATCAATCACAGTGCGGCGAACCACAATTTTCAAACAATGATAACAGGCAAGTGTGTCATAGTGTGTGTTCACTCATGAGACTGATGGACATTGATTATCACATAATTTATGTAAGAACACATTCATTAGCACATCATCCCTATGTCGCATCTGAAATTAACAGCACATTCATAACGGAGGCATCCATGACATGCAGGTGCGTGGCATCGGAGAAGCACATAATTTCCAACATTCACGACAACACAGCAGAAAACAATCACCAAACAACAACGATTCAGATGCAAGACCAATGTTGGTAGAGGAACAAGAACAAGAGCAAATATATGACAAAGCATTTTAATGGAAATGCGTATGTACAAGGTTGAAGCCAAAAATTGGACCTGTAGTCTCAACTCTACAACCGAGTAGCAAAAAAATACTGGACCCATCGGTTTGCTACACAACAGAGTACAAAAAAAAAACTGGACCCGTCAACGGGCGTCGTCTCTACTGTACAACCGAGTAGCAAAAGTTAAAAAAAAAAAAACCCTAATGTCCACATACTATCGTCGTCTCCATGGAACAACATCGACATAAATATGTCACAACCCTGTCGACAGAGCGTCCAGGTTGTACAACCAAGGGGAAAGAAAAAAAAAAACTAATGAAAAAAAATAAATACACTACGGACGTCGTCATCTCCCACCAGAGCGCGTGTGGCCTCTCCCACCAGAGCGCGCCCGGCCGTGCGATCCTCCCCGGCGCCCTCCTCTCCCTCCGACACTCTGCCCCGTGCCCCACTGACGTATGCCGCATGTGCTGCAACGGCCGCCGCGGCCACCTGTGCCCTGTGTCTGCGGGCCGCAGTCTCGATCGGCTCGGACTCAGTGTCTGCGTCCTCGTCCTCCTCCGCATGTGCATCAATCCCCCTCTCTCTCTCCCTCCGAATCGCGTCCAACGCTGCCTGCCCAACGGCGACCCCTGCAGCGATTCGAGCCTCAACCTCTGAGAGGCCATGCTATCGTCTCGTCCCGGGATGCATCAACAACCCCTCTTCGCCCGATGTGAACTGCTCTCCCCGCAGCCTGTCTGTGGATGTCCCTAGGGCTTTGAGGACCAATGTCCTCCTCGCCTCTACTCGTGACAAACCAAGCATGCGGCCTTCCATCTGCAGGCTCGGACGCCCGGACCCGCCCTCCGCAGCCTGCGGCTGAGCAGGCGCACGTCCCGTGAAGACGCCCCTCCCGGCGTCGTAATCCGCCTGCAACCGAACCCCGACCCGACGAACAGCTGACCATCCGCCACCCACACCTCCTCGGACTGGTGGCGGGGAACCGCCACTGTGCGCAACTCCGGGTGCCATCGTCCGGTCCCCGATGTCGACACTGCCCTCCGGAGTCCATGCGGGCCTCGGAGGCATCGATCCTGCACTATTTTGTCGTCGTCGCTGCGTCTGCCGGACCCCACCTCACTCGCACCAGACTCCCTCCCTCTAACGCCGCTGAGCGACGAACCAGACCAGTGAGGGCTCTGCACTGTGAACGGCGGCGGTGAATATACCCTCCCAGGGGCCTGCTCTTGCCGCTCTTGCGGCCCATGTGTGCGAAAGGGTCATCTTTCAACGCATGGGCCAAAGCGTCGGCGTCGAAGAAAGTGTGCGCTGTGCCGTATGGGCGCATGGGAGGCACTGTGGGGTCCCTCAACACCAAGGCAAGCCTATCTGGATCGTCCTCCGGACCGTGGTCGTCGTCATCGTCACCGTCCGGTCCATCGGCTCCACCGGCACCCACGGTATCCCCATCTCCACCGGGTCCACCCTCTCCTCTGTCGCACGCTGTGGCACCCTGTCCCTCATCACCCACGGTCTCGCTGTCGCCACGGCCCCCACTAGGAGACCCACCGCCCATGACAACATCTTGCCCCTCAGGGACACCCACGGCGGCATCTTGCCCCTCATAATCGAACTCGCCCTGAACCGCCTCCTCAGGGACACCGGAGTCGTCGACGTCACGACTCCCCTCCCCTCTTGTCTCCAGGTCCCTCTGTCGATGCTGCTCGTCGAGATACGCGAACTGACCCTCCCACCGTGGCAAAGTCCTCAGCCACTCCTCCTCCTCTCGGTCCAAACGGGCATGCCTCTCCTCCTCAGTCTCAACAGGGCTCCGCTCAACGTCCGCGTCTGTGCGCACATCCTGCGGTGAGGCACGTCGACGTCCCTCGACACTCAAATCTGCCAAGCTCCCACCAAGCCCTATGTCCTCGAAGTCCTGTGTGCGGAGCACCGACGGCGAGCGGGGGCGGATACCGTAGTTGAAAGGAGTCCTCTTCCCCCACGATCCTCGCCGTCATGTGTCCGGTCTCTGCCTGCTGCCGACGCCAACCTCTCCGAACGCCTAAGTGGCTCCCCCTCGGGCTGTGCAGAGATCGGATGATGGGAGGGAGAGAAGCGACGATAGCGAAGGTGAACCTCCTCATCCTCGGCCTCCCCCTCCGCCTCGCTGTCGCTCCTAACCTCCCAACGCCTGCCTGTGTGCCAAAGACCTCCCCGTGGCTGATGCTCCTCCGAGTCGTCCTCGCGAACCTCCGCATGCGAACGTCCTCCATGACCACCGCCGGCTCTGCTGCTGCCACTCGCCGGCGCAGTCGACGACACAGCACCAGTGATAACTGATGTGAATGAATCTGTGCCGTCATGACCCCCACCGTAAGTGCAGTACACTCGCTCAGCCGTCGGGTCGCGACTCTGCGGCGTGTCATCAACGTCAATCCAGTCGTCGTCGATGTCGTCGTCTGCCGCAGCAGCGTCCACATCCCCACCCTCCGGCCACGGTCGCAGCTTCGTCGCTCTGCTGCCGAACACGTCCTGAACCGAACGGGCTCTGGACGGTCGGCTGTCACGGAAAGCGACAATCTGCCGGTGAATCTCCTGCTCAGGAACACTGCCATCAGGTCGCGCTCCCCACACCTCGGGCTCCACATCTCCCTCCTCATCCTCCTCCTCTGCCGTTGTCCCCCCCCGACCGCTCCCCATAACCCATGGCAACACGTAGCCACCACCCTGCCGTGCGCACGACGCCAGTTTGAGATTGGTGGCAATCTCAACCAGTTGTGCAAGCTTGGCGAACCCAAGCTTGCACCGCCTCGCCGTGCTGATGAGCTCCTGCTCCGCCCAGTTCCTCTCCGCTGGAGAGGCAGGCGTCCACAAGTGCATCACATGGATGGCGATGGTGTGCAACTCCGGGTGGGCACGTCCATGCTCGAACCACCGCACTGCACACCGCTCGGTCTCGCTGTCCCCCCTGCAATCTGCCGCCTCAACATCGGAAAGCTCACGATCTCCTCAATCCCCTCGCCTCGAGTGGAACGCCCTCATCTGGTCCCTCACGGTCCTCTACAATAACCCGACTAGATCGTTGTCGGTCTGCACCAGGAGAAATCTGTCGCACTCCTCGACCACAAGGCGGTCCTCGGCGGTCGTCTGCAACGAATGGTAATACGTGAGGGACCGTCGGCGAGGGTTGAGGAGGTGGGCCGCGACATGTGCGGGCTCTAGCATGTAGAGGTTGCGGATGGCAACCTCACGCACGGGCAGATCGATCATGTCCTCAGGCACGTCGACCCTCCTCATCAACTGCTGCAGATGCTGACTCGACTCGTAAACGACAGGCATCATCATCCCACCTCTATCCATCCTGCGCAACAGCTGGTGGACGGGCGACATGATTAGGATGGCGTAATGGACACGCTGCCAAAACTCCGCATCCCGGATCTGCTGATGCACCCACTGCGCCTGAGATACGTTGTCAGGCGGCCACAAGTAGTGCGCCGCCTGAAAACGGCAGTTTAGGGGTTTAGGCTCAAGGTTAAGTCCGCGTTTTGACAGTGCTTTGGGATGACCGGGCTGCAGGAATTATGAGAACTCAGGGTACCCCTGATTCTGCATGCACTAGATTTTAAGAATAAACCCCAAAGACAACAAGAAGGGTAGGTGCACTGAGCATGACTGGAGACCGTCATTTCCGGTCGCTCGGAGGACTGGGACCGTTTTGGCCTGCCGCGGAGAGAGATCGCGGAAACAGACCTCGCCGCGGCATTTTGACGGCATACAACCGGGGCCGAAATGAGGCCTC